TTCCAGTGAAATATATTTATGTTTGTGGTTGTAATGTGACAAAATATGGAAAAGTTCAAGGGGTATGAATACTTTTGCAAACCACTGTATGTGGATGAAATATAACCATTGTCAATTAGCTCTGAGTCTGGTGGTCATCTTGAATTAGATTGCCTCAAAACATGAATCACTTATARACACATTATTTTCTGTGGGTTTTATTCAAATCCATGAAGTGCCTCATGCATTATTTTGTTAACAGATAAATGGTTGACTTCAGTAATAATACTACTTTTTTAAGCAAAGACCTTGCACCGTGAGGAGAACTCATGGTATGTTTTGGGAACGACTCTCTGCTACTACCAGGCTGAATCTTAGCACTATATTAATAAAAACAATGGAAATCTATGCCCTTTTTGTGTTTCTTAAAGTCTGGTCGTAGGATTCACAAGATATTTTGTGATCAGACAGAGTCAGAGGTGTCAAAAGTATTCACATTCATTACTTCAGTAGAAGCATAGATAGTAGGGTTTAAAAATACTTTTTTGGAAGTAGAAGTATCACCTCAAGCTTTTTACATAAGTAAAAGTATAAAAGTACTGGTTTTAAAACTACTTAAAGTATAAAAGTAAAAGTAATGAACACTTTAAAAAAGTCATTAAGGATAAAAGCTTTGTGGACTTGGAGAAGGTATTTGACCGTGTCCCTCGGGGAGTCCTGTGGGGTGTATTCCAAGAGTATGGAGTACCAGGCCCTTTGAGACGGGCTGTTAGGTCCCAGTACAACCGGTGCCAGAGTTTGGTCTGAATTGCCGGTAGTTAGTCAGACTTTTTTCTGGTGAGAGTTGGACTCCGTCAAGGTTGCCCTTTGTCACTGATTCTGTTCATAACTTTTATGGACAGAATTTCTAGGCACAGCCGAGGTGTTGAGGGGATCCTTTTTGGTGACCTTAGGATCACATCTCTGCTTTTTGCAGATGATGTGGTCCTGTTGGCTTCATCAGATCACGATCTCCAGCTCTCACTGGAGCGGTTCACAGCAGAGTATGAAGCGGCCAGGATGAGGATCAGTGCCTCCAAATCTGAGAACATGGTCTTGAGCCGGAAACGGGTATGGTGCCTTCTCCGGGTCGGGGAGGAGGTCCTGCCCCAAGTGGAGGAGTTCAAGTACCTCGGGGTCTTGTTCACGAATGAGGGAAGAATGGAGCGGGAGATCGACAGGCGGATTGGTCCTGAGTCTGCAGTGATGYGGGCGCTGTACCGGTCTGTCGTGGTGAAGTGAGAGCTGAGCCAGAAGGCAAAGCTCTCAGYTTACCAGTCGGTCTACGTTCCTACCCTCATCTATGGTCACGAGCTTTGGGTAGTGACTGCAAGAACGAGATTGTGGATACAAGTGGCCGAAATGAGTTTCCTCTGCAGGGTGTCTGGGCTCTCCCTTAGGGTGAGAAGCTCATCATCCAGGAGAGACTCAAGGTAGAGCCACTGCTCCTCCACGTCGAGAGGAGCCGGTTGAGGTGGTTCATCTGGATGTCTCCTGGACGCCGCCCTAGTGAGGTGTTCCGGGCATGTCCCACTGGGAGGAGGCCCAGAGGAAGACCCAGGGCACACTGGAGGGACTATGTTTCTCAGCTGGCCTGGGAACACCTTGGGATTCCCCCAGATGAGTTGGCCCAAGTGGCTGGAGAGAGGGAAGTCTGGGTCTCTCTGCCCCCGTGACCCGACCCTGGATAAGCGGAAGAAAACTGATGGACGGAAGGATAAAAGCTCAGGGTTCTGTAGCATGCCCCCCCAACCACACACACACACACACACACACACACACACACCCACACACACCCACACACACACACACACACTTTTTCAAAAATTTGGAATTAATTGACTAGACTACCTGTTTCAGCCATTATCATATTCATTCTAGGCTGCATGCATCTGCTATAGTTTGTCCTGCTGGAATGTGATGTGATTTGTGTCATACTGGTGTGATGGAGTGCGTTCAATCCAATAGGGTGTCAGAATGGTAGATATTTACACTTCTCATCCAACCACAATCAAACTCACTCTATCCAAGGGGTGATGGCCCTGTCAGGTGACAGTCTGGGCTGCTGCAGCAGTGACACTGATTGGAAGCACCTGAAACTGCTTCTTCTGTCTATAAAAAGACTGAGGTGCTGTGTTGAGGCAGAGAGGGTGTTGTTGGGCCTAACCCTCCCCTCTCTCACTTCGGGCTTCCTAAATTTGTTTGGTTTGATCTATTTTGGTTAACTTAGATTTATTTTGTCTATTTTTGGTTAACTTTGACTCATTTTGTTTGGGTTATTTAGATTGTTTTAGTTTACTAAGGTCACTTTATTATGGTTTGGTTTGCTTAACTTTAATTATACTTCAACAGGATCTATTTTCTTTAGTGGTCTTTTTTACTTTATTATTTAAACAAATACAATATTTAAACAATGTCRTTGTGTCCTCTTCCCTCATRTTTGWCCYTGAGCCAGATTGTGACAATGGGCTCCGTGTAYCTGGATAGATTTCTATTTATTTATTTCTGAACAATGAAAAGCTGCAATAAAAACAAGTCCAGAAATGAAATACTTTTTGCATTTTTAAAAAGTAAGGAGTAGAAAGTACAGATAATTGAATTAGAATGTAAGGAGAAATGAGAAGTAAAAAGTAACAATAATTACTCAACTAAAGTATAAATAACCAAAATTTCTACTTAAGTGAAGTGAAGTATTTGAACTTAGTTACTTGACACCTCTGGACAGAGTTAACTAAAACACAGTTAATCATGTGCAGTCTGTTAGCTCAGAATATGTGTTGAGGATCAGTCTCAGCTACAACCAGATTAAGGGTTAGTATCTAAAAKTGACTGAGTTATAGCTATGTTTGTGGTAGGTGAGGTCAGTTAGCTATGGCGGCTATCTTGTTTCGAGACATGTTGCTAGCAGACACAAACACGTAGATAAAACATTCTCCACCTTTGTGTTTTGGAGCCAACAATAAAATTGTAGTGTTACTTTAGAGGTGCAAGAGTTTATGAAAAGAGTGTGTGTAAAATGTTAGACAAAGCCTCACACGGTGATTTTCTGATTCTCTTCAACACGYTGGTCCAAAGTCTCCAGTTGGTGTTCAGCTATGATGACATCTGGTGATTGGTGATTCACACCACCCTGTCACAACTCATCAAACTGGTTTGTGATTCACTGATTTATATTGGGGAGGAACAACTTTACAGTTTCCAAGAAGATAAAAGTGTTTGTTTCATGATGGAAATACTGTAAGTAATTACTGAGTGATTCATAGGTCAGAGTTAACTTAATAAACAGGAAAAAAGTTCTTCTGAAAATGAGAAACAAAGCAGCTGAAATCTAAATAAAAACTTCAATTTTAAGACCACTTTAAAATGATTGCAAAAAGGTTTTGGCTCCTTTTACATAAAATATAAAAATATAGTGAAATCACATTTGAAAATGCAGTCAGTGCTGAATGATGAAAGAAACTAAAACTGAATTGTTAAAGCAGAACTAAACAGGAAAGTGACTCATCAGCATCAAGGTCACACAGGTTTGTCAGCTGCCGTAAATTGTTTCCTTGAATGATGTTGGTTTACTGAAAGTTGAATTTGTGCTATAAAGTTTTAATTAATTCAATAATCTGAGTCTTAGAATATAAATAAAACAGACTTTATGTTCATTTAATTGAGTAAAATAGGGCTTGCAAAAAATCAGGCAGTTTTAAAGGAAGTTTGGAGTTTTCTCATAAGTCCAGATGAGTTAAAATGATTTCTGACAATTTTATGTTGACATGAACCAAAACACTTTATGAGCTGAAGAGGAGCCAGAATTAAACTCTGCTACAACTATACACTAAAGTCAAACAAGAGATTTACCTTCAGAAATGACATTTTACGTTAAAATGCAGAGTAGCCTAAATGATGAGTGCTGAATGACTTTACTAAAATCTGCTGAAGAAACTGAAACTGGGATGTTACACTCAGAGCAAGCAGAACAACAGCTAAAATCAGCAGAACAGAGGATAAAAATTAAAAGCAAAAGGACAATAATTAAAAACTTAGTTTCACAACAGTAGCTAAAAGCAGCAGAATGCTGAATTCAACTAAACAAATAATAATACTTAGCACAACAGCAGCTGAAAGCTAAATTTAGTAGAACATTAGCTATGCTGAAGTTAGAACAATTGCTAAAAGTTAAAAATACAAAAGTAGCTAAAAGTCTAAATCTGCACAACAGTAGCTAAAAGCTAAATTAAGTACGACTGTAGCTAAAGGCAAAAAAGTAAATCAGCAGCAAAAAAGCTAAAGTTAGTACAAGAGTAACTAAAAGCTTCAATTTGCACAATACTGAGCTAAACTGCCAAAAGCTGAAGTTAGCACAACAATAGCTAAAAGCTTAGATTTGCACAAGAGTAGTTGACAGCTAAATTTAGTACAACAGCAGCTAAAGATAAAAAATATAGTAAATCAGAATCTAAAAGCTAAAATTGTCTAAACTGTAGCTTAAAGCATGAAAAGAGAAAATTAGAGGAAGTGTCCTTTTTTAAAGGAATTGAAATTTGAAATAACTTCAATGTATTTTTAATGAGGAAAATATTTGTTAATGAAGTTTAATATTTTATAAAGTACAAATGCTACAAAATTCAACATTCTTAGCTCACTGTATCTCCTAAATGAGCTGAACACTTCTGACATCTAAATGCTAAAAGTAGCTGAAAGTACTTAAGCAAATGGAAGCCAAAAACTGCATGAGGATAAAAATACAAACAGCAAAACAAAAATGTAAACACTGCCCCAACATTCAAACAGTACTGTGCTAAATTCAGTCTCTYAGTTTGTTCCTCTCGTTATATTTTTATAATTTCAGAAATTAAACTCATCTTGGATTCACTCTCAACTCTTTTTGTTTAGTTTTTTTTTTAGTCTGAACTCCATGTCCCTGTTCTACCTCACTGTCCACCTGGCTGTTGGCCATAAGTGATTTTTTTTTTAGTTTTTGTGGATTCTTAAAAAAGTAGCTTCTCTGATGTGTGTCAGGAGTGCTGGGGCAAGAGCTGGGACTAAATAAGAACAGAAATTAATGCTTCAACGTTAGGATGAAATGTCAGAGGAAAACATGCAGAGTTGGAGCCACAAATCAATCCTTGTTTAAACGCAATGATTTGTTAGAGTTACACACAGTTAAATTTATGACTCTTGACATAAATCAACATCATGTGGCCGCAGAGTAAATGTGGCTAACAGGCTGTAAATCCAAACTGACATGAAAGCCTTTTGATCAATATCAAGATATTAAGCTTTCAGGTTTTCCTTTTTCTCCCTGCAACCTGCTCACATTGCACAGCAGCAAAACTAAACGTCCACACCACAGAGAATTATTCTTTCCCACAGAAAAATCAGCTTCTTAGCAACCTGAAACAAATTTATTTATTTGTTATTATTATTTTCTTATTAACCATAAAACACATTACAATAATGCCTGAGACCAAACTATTTAAGAAGGGATCCTATATAATTATTTTTTTATATTTTGTTGGGTGTATAACCTTTACATTATTGCACCAACAGATTCAAAACTGTTGCAAAGAAAAAACTTCAGCTGTTTACCTGTTGTAGATGGTTCTTTCAACGACCACAATAAAAAAACAAGTTTTATTCTGACTGGACTGACAAGATAACTGTTAGTCATATTAATATAATATAATATAATATAATATAATATAATATAATATAATATAATATAATATAATATAATATAATATAATATAATATAATATAATATAATATAATATAATATAATATAATATAATAACAGCAGGTGGCATGGTGGCTCATTAGGTAGAGATGATGCCTCTCAACAAGAAGGTTGCCAGTTCAAATCCCAGCCCAGGGACCTTTCTGGGTAGAGTTTGCATGTTCTCTCCGTGCATGTGTGGGCTTTCTCCAGGCACTCCGGCTTCCTCCCACAGACCAAAAACATGACTGTTAGGTTAATTGATAACTCTAGATTGTCCCTAGGTGTGAGTGAGAGAGTGAATGGTTGTGTGTCTCTGTGATGGATCTACCCCGCCCCTCGCACTGTGACTGCTGGATGTGGGCACCAGTGACCCCCGCGAACCTGAAAGGAATAAGTGTGTACAGAAAATGGATAGATAATATAAAATTAGTATAGAATGCCTCAGGCTGTGCAGAAAATGCTACAACTAGATGTTGCAGCTACATAAAGTTTTATAAAGAAACCTTCACATAAACCATTAGAGATTTGGGTTGTTTTAAAATGGTAGTATTCCACTTTGTTCTTGGCCTCCTTTAGGTCGTCGGTCCAGTCAGAACGTTTTGTGCACACTGTGTTTTGGGGAAAAAACTATTTTACTGATAATTTCTGTGCCTCTATTTCCAGTGATTCTGTGTGGACAGAAGAAACAGAGCTTTTCAGAAAGAATGATGCAGAAGTCTTTTTTTTATTTTTATTTTTTTACACTTCTATTTTGTGTCCTAGAAAACCAAATTGTTTCTGGTTTCACAGTGTTTTTTTTCTGGGTCTGTCTCTCTTTTCTTTGATTGTGTCAACATCAAACTTTGATCATGTGCTGAAAATGCTGAGAACAGAGAAGAAACTTTGCAAAGGTTTAACTAAAACCTAGTTTTGTTAGAATTTCTGAACAGAGAATATATAAATGTGTGAAAAAATACATTTATTAACACATCCAGAGTAGTGTAGACAAGGTCTTAATCTCTATTTCTCCAAACTGCAACTGTACACGCAGCTATCTACTGCAGGTAAGATATTATTTGTTCAGAATGTTTCCACAGAAGCTCACCACAAAAGATCCAAACTAAGCAGCTAATCTTTCATGCTCCTTGTGGTTGAATTGACTCAGTAGCAGTGTTGTAGTTAAACTACTGATGCATTAAAAGCAGATAAATCCTTAAATCAGGCGAAGATCTTTGTGATGAACTCTTTGAAGCGTTTAGCGTACTGCTCAGGGTGAACGGTTGTGATTTCTGCTCCAGTCTACAACACAGAAACACAAGTGATTAAAACAAAGCAGGTGAACAGAACACGAAAACAGCCATTTATATTTCTATGCCAACCAGTCGCTTCAAAGAGTAAWAGAGATCTCTCACCCCGTTTTTGACAGCCTTGGCAGCGTGAGCAGCTTTCTTCTTGGTGTCGTACTGCGTCAGCACGTCAATCAGACCCATGAAGTACACCTCTCTCCTGGGGGCAGCTACAAGATCGTGATTCACAGCTCTGCGTGAGACGACGTTTCTCTAGAAGCTTTGTGGGGGCGGGGGAACCCAGCTGGCATCACTCACCTGCAGCACTCTGAGTCGCGTACACGTCCACGTAAGGATCAAATTCTCCAGGACCCATGGCTTTGAAGGACTTCATGTAGCCTGCGATGCCCTCAGGTGAGGTAGAGGAAGGAGCAGCCGCCAGGTCATGTTCACCCTCCTCTTCCTCCTCGATGGATGACTCCTCAGCCTCCTCCTCCTCTCTCTCAGCTCTCTGAACATCATGGATACCCAGCAGCAGGCTGTAGTCCATGATCCTCATTCGCACCAGGAACTGCAGCGACACACACACACACACACACACACACACACACACACACACACACACACACAC